ACCCCCTCTCTCTCTCTCTCTCTCTCTCTCTCTCTCTCTCTCTCTCTCTCTCTCCCTCCCTTGTGTGCTTAAAATATATAACTGAAAATACACATAGTGCACTCTCCTTTTTAAGGCATATTTGTATTATTCTTTTGGTATTAAGAAAATTTAAATAAATGGTCCCCTATCAATTAAATCACACAATCATCTCACCCGACTAAATACATTTTTTTTGTACAACTTTTATAGTATAGTGACTAAAAAGCCTTTGTTCATTTCCTAAAAGCAATGGGCTCGAAGGATAATATAATCGGGCGTCTTGTGAGTCAGATGCCTAGACACGTATCCGAATCTATAACTTCTAATTACCACTTTCAAATAATAATAAAAATATTGGTTATTATTTAAGATCTGCTTAACTTATGCCAAGATCCATTTGTTAACGATGACCATCATAGTTTTCCCGAACGTGGCCAAGTCTAAAGTTACAACCTTTTTTCCTGTATATAATACAAAACTATATTCTATACGCAGCTAATATGTGGCCGCTTCACTGCCTTTTCCAAGTTCTCAGACACTGCTTTGGTTAAGTTAGGGTCCTCAAAGCCAAGCTCTGCACCCAATCTGCACCAACACAAAGATCAACGGATCCAAATTTTCAATCTTTATGACCCGGCAAAAGAAAAAGTTTACATCTTTCTTCCAACCCAAGAAAATTTTTAGCTTTCACAGTCACAGGAAGTGATCTTCTGTCGTTATGATGTAATAAAGAGAAGGAGTTATGCTGATCTTTCTGTCGGGTTTTTCACTAAAGTGATCTTTCTGTGTGGATGTTGTTAACTTACTTTGGATCCAAGACGAGTTTCTGAACCTCTTTGATTGCCGAGCTGGCTGCGTATAATGATATCTTCCCGATCTGATCAAAACCCGAGTTTTTCAAAGGTTAGGACTAGGAAACGAGACAGTGAAAACCCTTGCGTCTTTCCGATATAAATATATATTACCTCTAGAGTCTGAATCTTTGCCTCGTGATCATTCGGTAGGCATCGGATCTCTTCAGCTAGTCTCACAGCTTCGCCCACGCTCTCGGGGAACAAGAAGTCGAGCAATAGCTGAACGTTTGACTGATAACATATGCATGTGAGAAGAAATTCGATGAAATTAGTGATGGAAACGAGAGAGCAGAAACTTCATAGGTTTCATGCTTATTTACCCGAAGATTCCGGACTTGGAAGGGACATCCTGTAGGGACGAAAATAACTTCACCAGGGTGCTGTTCAAATGACCACGGCTCGATCCCTAAAACACCAGACAGATTTAAGCACGTTCAGCTTTCGGTGTTGCACATACGAATTCATTCAAAGATGTGGGAAAAACCCGGTTCTTCTTACCGTGTTCTTCCTTAAGTTTTCTCTTGTGTTCTTCATTTAGGAACATTCCTTCGTACAATGGTCTTGAGGCCTGAAAGCCAGGGAAACAAAACTTGAAAACTTCATCTTCTTACAAACGAGAACCTCAAAATAGCTTTCACTGATTGATCGAGACAAAAACTCACAAAGTCGTCTATCAAGTAATCGGGCTTCTGGGACATTCTGCAATGCGTTTGGAGATACTCAACCAGTTTTGGAACATCTTGCCGGCGGAAGATATCCCAGCGAGCTCCTGCACTTGTCACGCAAGAAGATTCCTCGTTGTGATGATCTGTTCCATCAACCGAATCTACGACCGGCCTCGTCTCACTATCGTTCTGCTCTGCCTTAGGCCTATCAAGTGAAAGATCGGGTAACTTCCCATCCTCTAATTCAGCCTCAGTGCTCTGAAGTGCATCACCTTCCTCTGTCTCCTCCTCGGGTTTTTCTGTCTCAGGTTTCATCTCTGTAGACCCTTTTAATGTTCCTTCAGATGTGTGCACCAAGAGGTATACCTGATAAATGTTGCCAACATCAGTTATTGTATTGAAAAAACGGGTTAAAAAGTGACTCAAGTTTTGATTTCAACATTGACACCGTGCATAACATGCTTAGTGCATGGCATATCTTTAGCAATAAGCTAAGGTTTATGTCCAGAATCGGCACAAGACAGATCTATTATAGCCGGGAACATACCATGTCACGCATGTTGTAGTGAAGATAAGTCACTGAATCCCCTGAACCAAGTTCTTCATATGTCCCACAAGCCACGTGAATTTTCGGCCCTGCATCGCTCTGCAGCGAGTAATGAGGCAACTTGGCTGCAACGTTCAGAAGACCTAACCGGGGATGTATGTACTCGAGAAGCGGCAGCCTACTGATGAATTCAGGTCTCTGGTAGAAAAGCAACTCCTCGGAAGCACTTGGGCTCGGCCATTCCTTTAACTTCAACAGTTGCGGGAGACTGTTCTCCCGGGTCCTTCCCTCGGCATATGCTTTCATAAACTCACCAAGTCTTATATCAACCTGTCATGAAAAGAAATCATGAATCTTTGATAGGAGTACTCACACAAGTTTTAACAAGAACAGAGAAGACTCACCTCTGACCCATTGAGGCAATCTACAGCCTTCACCAGCGGATCCTGATCTTTCGTTTTTTCATCTGAAATCTCCTTTATATCCCTCCATATAACTTCTGGGTCCCAGTTACGAAGAGAAGTCTCATCAAGTACCCGTTTAATGATAACTGGCCGGCCTTCTGTCCATTGTTTCTCAAAGCTGATTACTCCTTCCGATTTAATCACGTCAAGTGAAGGGCTGTACACAAAGTTGTCACTGCTGTCCTCTCTGTGAGCCAATTTGCAGAACCCGGAATCAGACGGGTCAGAGTCCTGAAGTTCCCCTGCGTATGATGATACCTTACAGCCACTAACCATCTCCTCCGTGTTTTTCACAAGCTTCGCAACCCAATTCATCTTGAATATGCGGCCCAGATTCAAAGACTGTGATCCACATCCTCCATATTCCTTTGGCGGGCAAGGGATGCCCCCGTTGCTGTTGGCTTTCCACTTAGGAAACTTGTCTGAAAACCTCAGTCTCAGCTTTGGAACACCTGCTTTACCAGCTATGTCTTGGGCCGTCCCAATAACCTCGACCGAGGATTCTGCACGCAGGTCCTGACAGCATCTCAGACACAGGTCATAAGAGCAGCTCGAGCAATGACGGTAGTAGTCAACAACCGGTATCCGGCAGACATTGCTGGGTCAAACATCACAACTTTATGTCATTAAGTCATCTCATGAAGACAGACTTGAGTTTAGTTAAGGTAAAAAAATGTAAGAAAATTCAAAAAGCACGGATATCAAAACGACATTGCACTATTAACTCAGTTCGTTTAAAAATTGCTAATAAGATGAATGTGTTGTACACAGCTTAGTACAGTTAAGACACGAACACATGAAAGAACAAAATCACGTACCAGCACATCTGCTCATCTGCTTTCAATCTTGCCCGGACAAGATCTATCTCGGTTCCTGCAACGCCAAGCTATCTAGCGTCAACTGAAATGAAATCTTAGATGTATACTTAATCAGTTACCACTGTGAGACAATATTTCATCTCACCACGTAGCTTCTTCTCTAGTTCTACTTCCGAGCATTGTTCACGATGGATCTGCTTTATTACCGGAAGCACGGCTGATAATAGACGGTAAAGATGTTGCAACCTGTCCAAGATGGGTATTTCCCGAATCTGTACCTGTAACATCACATAAAACCATTTCACTGCCTGATTATTTGGCCCTTCAAAGTTACAAGGGTTTGAATATTTGGATCAAAACATCACCTTTATTGCATTATCAGAGCGTAAACAAGATTTGCAATTGCACAAACCACGACACGAAGGGCAAGCCTTCTCGATTTCTCCGGGAGAAAACTCCGAGTACCTTGAAAGCATGAGACATGGGTACTATTAATCTCGATACCAGAGAATTAGAGGAATTCTTATATATACCGAAATACCCTACCACGTCGAAATACAAGTGCTGCAAAACGCTCTCCGGTTGCATTTGAGGCAACAAATGATTCCCTCTTCGTCTTTCCTCTGGCATTGATGGCATGTCTGCTCCAAAGTTTCTGCAGAAGCATCAGTGCTCGCACCAGAGTAGTCCTGGGAAGTAAAATCAGTTACTTGTATCATCAGTGACATACAACTGCAAGCAAATGTCCGGACCAGACAAGAATCAGCGAGTACATGTCCTAATCCGTGTGGCAATACAGCCAAGTATTCGACTTGAATACTAAACCGACCATGCAAAAATATCTCCCGAATCAAAAGACAGATATACCATGGGACTAAAGCTTTGTTGTGATCTATTGAGAGATGAGTCTATCGCAGCAATGGGTGGTGTCCTATACGGTCTCCAGGTCTCTTCATACTGTCCAGCATCTCTTAATGACTCGTCATTCGACTTCACAAAACGCGTAGAGAAGTTCCTCGTTCCGGGTGCCTCCGATGAGTACCCCATCTGGCTTTTATAACTCTTCTCCTTAGCACTGTTCTTCCTCGAGACCGAACCATTACTATAGTCACCAACCTTCATGCCAGTAAGGGTTGTCTCGAAATTATCGACGTTACCCTCAGCATACGCATCAGATTCATCAAAGGATTTCCTTTTCGCCCTCTTCAGGCTTGCCCGCCAAGCGGAATTAGCAGCCCGCCTCTTGGCCTGGATGTAATGCTTCTCACACACAGTCTTGTCCGGCATTGACATCGCGGTGCATCTCCACTGCTTACCGTCTGATCTCTTGCACCGCCTATCATCTGGAATCCCGACATTGTCCTCGCCATTTCCCGAGACTACTCGGGGATTTTCGTTAACGCTCATTCTAAAACCAAATTACTAGCTCACCAAACTAACCTGCATTGTTCCAACAAGGAGAATAATAAGACTAACAACACTAGGTATCAAACCAAAACATATAAATCCTTGTTGGCTGACAAGAAAACAGGGTAGTGTCCAAAATTAGACTCAAATTTGAAGACAGTAATCGACCAAATAACAATACCCGGAATCCAATTTTACAGGTAATATACCCAAAATCATCAAAAGTGAAACCTAACATTTACCAGGATTGGAGTCGAATTTTAACCAAAGAAAACAAACAAACCAGCAATACCCAGAAACCGATTACTGGATAAAAGGCCAATCAACGAGCAAGATCGATCAGCAATCGTTAAATTCAACACTAAGATGAGCAAATTGGAGAAACGAAACAAAACATTGTTGGACAGAGGGAAATTCTGAAAACCCTAATAATCACATCGCCAATTGGACAGAAATCCCATGGAAGAAATAGTTTCAGAAGACAAGAAACAAAGAACTTGACACCAACATAGACGTATATGACTGTAAATCGGTATATGTATACGTGTGTATACAGAGAGAGACAGAGACACAACTCGACAATGTTATTTGAAGAAAATCGAACGAATTCGAATCACCGACGCGATACCCAACAGCAAATCTCCCTCAAGAACAAGTCTTGAAGACGATAATCCGAGAATCACTAACATCATACAAGTGTATGTATCTTTATATAGGTGTAAGTACATGTGCTCATTCGACGATGCAGGGCAAAAAAGCGACTGACCGGAAATTAGGGTTTGCCGAGGAAGAGGTAACAGGGAAGAATCAAGTTCGCATTGTTCAGAAGACTAATTGACAAAGTCTCCGTTTTTTTTTTAAACTTCCTGTTTTCCGAGTCCTGTCATTCGGACAGAACCTGATAGTTCAACACAACTCGACTTTTGAATTTCCATCACTTTGTGATAAAAGCGAATGAAATGTAAAAAGAAAAAAAAATCTAGCCAATTCAATCCCATACTTACCTAATAATTATCTGTTTTCGATATTTTATATTTTATAAAAATATTTCTATAGGGATAAGTAAAAAAATATCTAATCCGTAAGCCTTTGAATGGTATTGGTTTTTATTTTGGGTTTTTTGTTTTAGTTTTTTGTTTTGTGTTTTTAGTTTTGAGTTTTTGACTTTTGGATTATGAAAGTTTATAAATCTAAAAAAAAGTGGTTTTTAGTTTTTAGTTGATTTTTTTCGTAAAGTAGATTTCCGGGTTTTTAAGAAAATCAAATTTCAAAAAATTTGATTATCGGTTTTTCCACTTTTTGAAATCCAAAAACTCTGAAATTCACCTCCCATTCAACACTTGAAAAAATTTTACAAATTAATTTTTACGTAATATTATTTTATATCACCACTTAACAAATTTTCCGAAATCAAATCTGCTTAGTTTCAGGATTTTGGTTTTCGGTTAAGGTTCGGCTCTACTAAATCATTCAATTTTAAATTTTAGTTTGATATAATGACGTGGCATAACATATATAACCAAATTATGCGAAATCTAACAGATTTTGAACCCCAAAATAAGTACAAATCTTAGTTTTGAGTTCCAACATAACATAAGAGAAGATAGAAGAATGAGAAGCTTCTTCAAAACAAAACCAAAAAAGATATATTAAATTACTTATAATGACATGGCACCATTATCCTATGTGAAAAATCCGTTAGCAAACTCAGGATTTATTTGGTTAACAAAAAAAGTACAATATTTTTTTCGTCACGTACGGAAAGTACACACATATTTTTGGCGATTCTGCGTTATATATTTTTTTTATTGATCGAATTAAATTCAGTACCACGGCTCCATATTACCAAAGGGTACAGATTCTTTACTTGCTCTACTTTACGAGAGTATTCTTCTTGGATCGAAACTTCTTTACCTGCTTTAAATTTCCAATTTTTTATTTTGGAATATATATATACACACAAATAAAGGGGGGCATTATCTGTTTTACAAAAACGAAAACATTTATGTTAGACAAAATTAATGTTTATCATCCAGAAATGCAGATTGTAATTTCGGTGAAAAAAAAGCAATATATAAACTTTTAACAGATAAAAATCAATTAAAAATTCAAAAAATTCCCCAAACATCCAGAAATTAGATAATTTTTTATCCAGAAAACTATAATAGGTCGAAAAAAAATCCTAATATGTACACAAATGCGATATATTCGCATCCTAAATTCACACAAACTAAATCTCTTACCTGTTAAATTAAATATTTAATTGCGAAATTATCGAATCAAAACCTTCAACTGAAAAGAAACAACCACACAACCCCTTTTTTAGGCTCAGCCACTCCGTGTACGTTCCGCTTTTCCTCAGCATCTTTCACCGACTCTAAAGATTCTTATGTGTGTGTATTTATATGTATGTAGTATCGAAACCTTCATAAGTCACAAATCTCTCCGCAAAATCGAATTTTATCATCGACCCAGAAATCAAAATCGATTTTTTTTCAGACCCTTTTCAGGTATTTCAAAGTTTCAATCGGAGGAAGCCACGGATCGGACAAACAAAATCATGGAGTATAGGCCGTTGGATCTAACGATCATATCGGCGAAAGATCTGAAGGATATTCAGCTGATCGGGAAACAGGACGTGTACGCCGTCGTTTCGATCAACGGAGACGCCCGTACGAAGCAGAAAACTCCGGTGGACAAAGACTGTGGCACGAAGCCCAAGTGGAAGCACCACGTGAAGCTCACCGTCGATGATGCGGCGGCGCGTGAGAATCGCCTGAATCTGGTCTTCCAGATCGTGGCGTATCGACCGATCGCTGGCGACAAAATCATCGGAGAAGTCACTGTTCCGGTGAGGGAGCTTCTAGAATATAATTCGAAGTCCGGCGACGGAGAGAAGAAGCTGACGTATGCCGTGAGGCTGCCGAGTGGAAAGACCAAGGGATCTCTGAAATTTTCTTACAAATTCGGCGAGAAATTCACATATGTGCCTAATGGGCCTGGTGTTGCTGGGCCCGGTTCATCAACTGTGGCCCACAAGACCATGGATCAGCCCGTCATGGCTTACCCGCCTGGCCATGGCCCCTATCCTCCTCCCACGGCTGGGCCATCTGGATACGCACCACCTAGTCACGGCCCTAAACCCGGATCGGGATACGCATATCCGCATCATGGATATCCGCCTCCTCCGCCGCAGCATGGATATCCCGGTTATCCGCCTGCACCGGGATACGGATATCCCGGATACCCGGCTCCGGGCCCATACGGGTACCCACAACAGGTGGTCCAAGGGAAACCACAAAAGCCGAAGAAACATGGTTCGTCTGGTCTTGGACTTGGGCTTGGTCTAGGAGCTGGCCTTTTGGGTGGGTTACTTGTGGGAGAGGCAATTTCTGACGTGGCAGATACTGTGGATGCGTGTGATGACATGGATGGTGGTTTCGATTTTTGATTAAATTTTTTCTTTTTTTCATGCAAATGAAAATGATCCTTTTATGGTTTGATGAGATATTTTAGGTGAAGGGGTATGTAATTTTCTTTGAAGATGGTTATGAAATTATGTGATACATATTCTAATCTCGTTGTAGATTTCTTTTTGTACAAAATGCATGGATACGTAATCTCTTCAGATTGACTTAATTTTACTATAAGCTTCAGTTTTAAAAGTGAAATGTAAAAAATTAAACTAGTTAACTTCCTTAACAATTGAACCATCCAAATTTGGATTACATTTATTTATTTAATTAGGTGTTATCATTTAAAAAAACTCAAATTGTTAACATTTACAAATAAAAATATCAGGTAATAATTCGAGTTAAAAGGTGTATCTATCCAATCATCAATGAGATCTAAGTCGGATACCAATCGAGAAACTCGACCATATTGACTAATTTGAACACCTTCATGACCCTTTATTAAAAAAACATAATATTTATATGCATATATTCTTCCATATGAATATTTATAGGCTTACAAAATGACACATTTATGCTATTATATAATATATTATGAAACTAAATTACATGTCCAAATGATCTTGGAACTAAGTGAAATTGATTGTAAAAAAAATCAAATCAATCTTGAATACGTTTCGATTTAGAGGAAAAAAATGAAATAAAAATTAAAACTGCGCATCCGGGGAATCGAACCCCGGTCAGTACCGTGGGAGGGTACTATGATACCACTACACCAGATGCGCTTGTGTACTTTTAGAATAACTAAAATAATTATATTAAATATTATTGACAACAACATCAACATCATGAATATTATCGTGTCTAAACATTTATATATTTCCCACAGAGAAGAAAATATATAATTTTTCAATATCATGAATACAGTGAATAAACAAAAAAAAAATCCTAATCAGAAAGAAAATAAGAGAGCCCAATGTCTTACTTAAAATCATATCAGCCCGAGTCCCAACATATCATACCAAACACATCTCTCTCTCTCTCTCTCTCTCTCTCTCTCTCTCTCTCTCTCTCACACACACACACACACATTGATACACACACAAACCCTAATTTCAATTCTCTCCCCATCTCTGAAACAATATCTGGGCTGGACTCTTGGTGCTCTGAAATGGCAACAAAAGAGGCAAAAAAAGAAGCTAGGAAAGCAGAACAGAAGAAGGCTCCTGAACCCAAAGAAACTCTTCCTCAAGAACAGGACAACCTCCCACTTCTTTCTTACAAGGTAGTATCCCCATGCATATACATACATATACCATGTATGAGCATAGGTTTGTACGTATCTAATCACGTATTTCTATATTTTTGGGTTTGTATGTTGTTTAGTTTTGAAACCCAAGATAGAAAAAGAACCCATGTTCTCTCGCATGTTGTTTTTTGAAATATTAATTGGCTTTAAGATTTTGCTCTGCAGACATGCAGCTTGGCAGTCTCCATTCACTGCGAAGGCTGCAAAAGAAAAGTTAAAAAGATCCTCACCAGCATAGAAGGTGTTTTCTTGAATCTCAAATTTTAATCTGCAAGGATATTTTCGTCAGTTCGTATAGCTTTCAAAATCACATCAATGCGTTCAAGAATCAAGATCGCTGTAAACTATCGTTGGTACTATAATGTTCTTGAACGGTTGCATCATTTGATTGACGCCTTTTTTTTTGGGGAATTTTCTTTTGTGGGTGTTCGAATATTTTATGCAATTTTTCATTTTCTGCAGGTGTTTATAAGGTAGATGTCGATGCGAAGGAGCATAAGGTAACGGTGATCGGAACCGTCAAACCGGAGATTCTGACAAAGAAGCTTCTTAAGGCCGGAAAACTTGCCAAGATCTTGCCGGAAAACTCCTACCCGAAAGAGAACAAACCGGAAAAACTCGACCCGGTTAACAAAGGTGAAAAGAAAACGAAGAAGAAGAAACAGGAGAAAACCCAACTCGCTGACGACGGAGCTACCACATCCGGCGGCGGTCGTTGCCACGGAGCTAAACCGGAGACCGGTAAAACCGGCAGCGAGGCTATTAAACCCCAAACCGGTAAGGAAACCGAGAAAAACGGCGAATCCGGTAGTCCGGTTAATGAGGAGAAGACCGAAAACAAGGAGACTGTGAATGAAGCTGCCGGTGATCCGTCACCGGCGGCGGAAGGGAGCGGCGAAGCCAAAAAGGCTGAAGCAGGTGGAGACAGCGGCAGTGGCAGTGTAAGTAAAAAGAAGAAAAATAAGGGTCAGAAGGGTTCTACCAATACACCTGCCCGCACGAAATCACTTCGTCCTCCAGTCCCTCAGGCGAATCAGGACCGTCCATCTAATCACATCGACGGAGATCATGTGATGACCAATAATATTCTGCCACCTCACCATATGTATGCTTATCCACCGAGTTACTATGCACCTCCGCCTCATCCGCCGGTGATGTACGGTGTGAGCTACCACATGGCGCAGCCTCCTGCTACCGTATACGGTGAGTCATATTATACATCTCCGTATTCGTACTCGTACATGCACGCTGGGTCTGCACCGTCCGATCAAAACCCCTATCAATCTCGACCGTCCGATTCGCTCGAGCCGGTCAACGACGAAAACCCTAGCGTTTGCTCCGTCATGTAAATTACCAAAATGGATCCTACGGGGAGACTTGGAATGCTTATGCAATTCGCATGAGTGATAGTATTTTGGTAATTTACGTAATTTGTCGTATTTTAATAGATATTAGCTTTTGTTTAATTGAATAATTTAGCTTTCTTTAAGCTTTTGGAAAGCATCCTCTTCTTTTTTTTCTTCACTTTATAGTGTTGGCTAAGTAAAAGGAAAGGCTCAAAGTCGTCTTTGCTATGCTTAGTGCAATGAGACATTATGATGTGTAAAGTGTAGAAGCTTATTTGGCATTTTTGTACTTTTGTTTGCTAATTGCAATGAAATACTTTATAGTTTTAATAAATTGGTGGTTGCATAGTGATGTTGTAATCGATTATTCGGAGATAATTAGAAAATGTATATTGGGAAATGATTTTTGGTAAAATGATTATACAAAGTTTAGAGTCGTTACAAAAAGAGTTTGTGGCAAAAAAAAAAGTTTATTAATATAAAATTATTTTGTTTCGTTTTGTCAATCTCAAGCTTCGCTAAAATGTTTGAAAAGTGGATATAAATTTGTGAAACTCAGATAATAAATTTAGAACTACTATCGATGTGCGTTGAAAAATGTGATTTGACTTTCAAAATTCTAATTTCATTGTCGCATTTACTGCCTAAAATAATGGTATGTTTTTATTCTTAATTTTTTTTAATAAATTATATACACGATTTAATTTAAATATTGATGTTGAAGTAACAATAACATATCAAGAAAACTATTTTTAAAATTTGTATTACTTAAATCTATATATGGTAATAATAGAAAAAAGGGAATAACACTGAAGTAATACGTTAAGAATAGTAAGAGAACAAAAAATTGAGATATGTAAATATTGATTGATAGTTTTGACTATATAAACATCTATAACTATACCAGTTAAATAATTTATTTCGTTTTTAACGTGTAATTTAGCTTATTTCATTTGAGTTTAGGTTTTAGAGGAAATTTATATTTTATGGTATTTTCTTTTTTCACCTTTCAGTTTTTTCCATTTTATTACTTTTATTTTGTCACCTGTTTGCGATGTTGGCTTTTTTAAAACGTTTGTACGAAGCCAACTATGTGTGTCTTCGATAAAAGTGAGGAAAAAAAAAAAGAAAAAGAGTAGGGACAAAAGAAAGGCTGGAAATTGCATTGCTCAAGAAAGTAGGGACCCTTCATATATCAAAACACTCGTACATACATTATAGGTGTATAAAATAAAATAATATGCATACGCATCTTTATTCAAAACGAGACAAATGAAAGATATAAAATGATTACTTATTAAAATTGAAGTCTAAAATAAATATTTTTACTAATCTATGTACCGTAAATCATGTCTAGATTTTTGGGGGGGGGGGGCATTTATCTCCCCTCTATCGGGAATCTACTCTCCCGTGTCATGCTTTGATGTCCAGGAGAGAACGATTTCCAAATTGTGAAAGCACCCAAAAGTAATTCAATTTTCTGATGAAGAAATCATACCGAAGAGAGTTGTAGCAATGTGTTTTTGGACTCACTAATAGCTACAGTTGTACGGAGAGGACATGGATCTAAGCGTAGTAGTTCAAGCTCGCCTTCTTCTTGGCCTGTACTTGTATTATACCTTCATTGAAATCTTCATGATTCACCTGTAATACACCAATTTCCATTCCTCATTATTCCTACCATCACTCAAGGTAAATGTACCCGAGCGAGAGAAATGTACCTCGGTTGCATCCCGTCGGAGGGCAAGCATGCCTGCCTCGACACACACGGCTTTGAGTTGAGCTCCGTTGAAATCTTCAGTTGATCGAGCAAGCTCTTCGAAATTTACGTCTGGATGAACATTCATTTTCCTCGAGTGAATCTGCAAAATCATCGTCCAGGCAGGATCAGAAGAAGCAATTATTTAGAAAACAATGATTGATGAAGCAAAAAGGGTACACAACCTGTAAAATCCTGGCTCTTGCTTCTTCAGTAGGGTGTGGGAACTCGATTTTACGATCCAAACGACCAGAACGCATGAGGGCTGGGTCCAGAATATCAGCACGATTAGTTGCTGCAATAACCTGCGTGCGAAAAATTCTGAGTTGAAAAGCCTGTGACCAAATACATAGATTTTAAGGAGGGGTCAACACGGGGGGGAGAACCAACTGTCGACTGAACCCGTCAAGCTGATTGAGCAGCTCCAACATTGTCCTCTGCACCTCGCGGTCTCCGCTAACTTCACTGTAACCCATGAGGAAAGCAGCAATAAGTAATGGGATTTAGCGAAAATTCAACATAATACAGATATAGCGGGATAATATGGCCGTGACATCACAGATATTATACCTGTCAAAACGCTTTGTTCCAATTGCATCAATCTCATCAATGAAAATAATGCAAGGGGCTTTCTCTTTCGCAAGCTGGAAAGCATCGCGGACAAGTTTTGCACCATCTCCAATGAACATCTACTCAAAAGAGTGCAGGTGTAATATCCATCCATTGCATAATTTGACTGAAACAGTACTTTGTAAAAGTTATGGCCGCAAGGGCTTTCGTCGTACCTGCACATACATATAAGTGTTTCGTTTACGGAAAATTATTTCTCTTCAAATTTTAGAAAGGGAAAATGATGTCATTTTTAGTGATAATATCATGTTTCCTATTTTTTTTCTATACGATCCCGCTCTTTATGAGTCATAGGGAGTACAATAGCTTCAACAAGCTCTTCTATCTGTTCAAGTAACGACATTGTGAAAAATGCTACCATATATACTAAAAAGAAAGACCACGAATTAGGAGAAAAGGTTAACTTGCCTGCTTTTCAAGTCCTCCAATATCATTGTAGTCTTCAGTTGGTTTTTCATCGACCTCCATTGCTTTTACTCTGGAATCATACTCGGACGGCAGAGTATCCAGAATCAAGTAACTATCTTTGTTAACCCCAACCAAGTCGCCAGGCTTCAACGTGTCAGGATCAACAAGCCCGACAACTGGGAGAAAGATGGTCTGAAAATTAAAATGAAAAGCACGAGATCCATGCGATCTTAATTTCCAAGACTCATACAGAGATAGAGATTATGCCACCAGCAACTCCCTCCTTAATTCTGAAAATGTTCGTCTAAAAGAGATAAGATGATATACTATTTTACCTGGCGGGTGGATGTTTTCAAAACAACACATTTTCCCTTCCTTTGTGAGTCAAGATCGATATTGGCTTCATCTTCCTCAGCATCATCCTCAGGGTTCATCTCCAAAATCTGCAAATCAAGGTTCTCAATCAGAGACTTGTTTCATAATCACTCACAAAATCTGCATTGAAAAATGTCTAAATTAAGAAGCGAAGCCAAGGAGGGTATCACCACATTCAAAGATCTCACAAAGCAATATAGACGTGGCTACTCAACGTTTTCTAACAATCACCACACAATCAACTCAGCACTCATGTAATGCATAAAAAAGCCAAAACAAATCCCTTATATGCAGAGAGAAAATCAAAGCAAATAGTGACTAGAAGTACCTCAACGATATTGCCGACCAAGTATGGTAACTGTTTGTTGAGCTTAATCTTTTCCTGGTTCTCCTTTATCTTATCCTTGACTGATTCCAAATCGAGGTTCGTTCTTTGTAGCTCTTCCTGAAAGCAACTCAAAACATAGATTGCTTAGATTTCGAAATATATTTGCAAAGAACGATGATTCACAGGAACCTAAAACGGAGAAAAAATTGCCAATCTGGTGATAAAACACCCCTACAAGCAGAATCTAATCAACCCTGAATCCGGAATGATCACATCCTTCATCTGACGGAAGCAGAAAAATTGTGGTACCAAAGGACAAGCGATAGAGAAGTTTAAGAGATCATTATTTTCATCAAAAACAAGTTCAAATTTCACAAAAAATAAGAAAATAAATACTGAGACGGGGATCAGAAGCCAGAGCACACAAACGCTAATCAGTGTCCATATGATCAAACGGTAGCGAGGAAATGGGAAAGAGTGAATCTAACAAAACGAACTAACAATCTGGGAAGGAGACAAAAGAAAGCGATTGATAAAACCCTAGACAGACAGAGAGAAAGAACAACCTTGAGTATGCGATTCTCATTGTCGAGGAGACGAGAAGCTCTGACAATGTCTTCGGTTGACATTGAAGCGAGCTGGTCTTCCTCGAAGCTTGTGTCTTCCGCCATCGCCGTAGCCATCTGGAGAATCAGCGTGCAACCTTCGAGGGAGCGAGACAGAGAGAGATCGACGAAGAAAGAAAGAAATGTTTGGCTTTTGAGTGAAGAAAGCACATTTAATTTTAAAATATAATAGCACATGTATCCGTTGTCGTCCAGCGGTTAGGATATCTGGCTTTCACCCAGGAGACCCGGGTTCGATTCCCGGCAACGGAAATATATTTTATTTTCTTTTTTCTAAGAAAAAATCTTTTATATCGATAATTAATAATTCAAGGGGGTGGAACTAGGATGAATCATTAACATTTTGTGAGTCAACGTAAATACTGCATTTTCATTATGTAATTGAAATGTAATCTTTACAATCAAAATCTCAGTACATATTCAATCAAATTTATCATTGAAGAACAAAATAAGCAGGCAAATATATAAACTAAGTATATACGATTTATTTCTTCTTTGAAAAAAAAATAACAGCATAATTTAAATTTAACCCCATAGATTTCCAATATATCTCTTTTTATAAATGTATTCAGTATCACATTACAAAAATACAACTGTCATTTTGAATGATAATCTCCCATTTTACATATAATCAAAATGATAACCTTTTATGATATACAAAATACATCGAAATTTTTTAATCCTTTCTGATTATTATCAGATGGGATAATCCTTCAATGATTTTTATTTTAATAAAACGGTGAAAACTATATTTTTCACCAACATAATAAACTTTTCCCATACTTTCTTGTCCATTTCCCGTTTCGAGGTCGAAATAGAACCGAACGTCGAGTCAAGCCCGTCCATCGCGACCGTGTACAACCGACCGGTGGAACCACGTGGATTCATTGGAGAATCTTCGAACAGCAACAACAACAATGATGTTGCTGTTGGACCAAGGCTGAGATTCTCCGTTCCGGTGGTTCGGACCGACGCACATTTTCCTTGGATAAGATTACCCAAATGCCTACAGAGAAAACAGTTTACGCGTGAGCCATCAACCGAGCCGACGGTTTCCGCCTCGCCCACGGTGGTTTGGACCACAGCCCTCGACGTCCTCGTAGTCTTCGAAGCTCGTCTCCGGGCTGTTGTACGGACCTTGTTTTTGCTTTAGCTATTGAGACGACAATAACATGTTTGACAAAACTTTGTAATCTCTTTCATTGTACAAGTTCTGTCTCCATTTTTTTTTGTTTTTTTTTCAAATCTGCTTGAAAACTCTACATTTTTAGATATCGAAAACTTTGAGGAATATGTATATGTATATATATACACACACATACATACATACATACATACATACATACATACATACATACATACATACATACTTAGATATATATTCTAGAAAATACCTTAACAGTGTTTACACATGAAATCTATCTTGGATTTTCGTTACCTTAAAAGTTGAAAATCTTTCTCTTTTGGGTTTGAATTTTAACTAATTTATTTATGCATAATATGGATTTAGAAAATTAATATTTTTATTTCTTTATTTTACTTCAAATGGAATCAAAGCATTATCATATATTTTACAAAAATGGAAAAGTATCTATTTTATAAAAGGAATAAAATCTGACATAGTTTTTTTCTTAACTAATTTTGGACAAATAAAGAATGTAACTTTTTTTTAAAAGTAAGTGTTGGTATTATCTGACAAATTGATATCATACTTATCTTGGAAAAAAACCATACCATATTAGCAATTAAACTATTTTGGCCAATTACATCTCGCATTTTATATTCGGAATGGGCAGAGACTAAATAGGAAAATAAATCAAAAACATTACCAACAATCATAATCTTGATTGCATATATGGCTATATTCATTTCCTTAATCAGATAACATTTACAAGAAAATCTCCTATTCATGATAGAGGCAGTCAAAATGTATGTACATCTACAAATTAATTACATACTTTGTTAGAGAGATGTGCTATATCTTATCTGCACCCTCCAAAAATGGACACAGTGTGAAATCTCTTGACTATAATTGTTATATTAATTATGTGTATGACCAAATACTTCTATATTGACCATGAAAATATTACCAATTTAGAGAAAATAAATAAATAAGGGTAAAAGGGTAATTGATATATCCATTGTTCAAAAAACATTTAATAACCTCGCCTTTTATTCTTGTGTATTGCTTCTTTATTCACAATATTTACTCCACCCCGAGAGAGAGAAAAAAACATTCTCCATTTGTTATCAAAGCAACAAACCCAAGCAAAAAATATTTTCTTTCTTTGCGTTTTGGATTTTTTCCCTTGAAAATGATGATGAGTTTTGGTAGCGTTATGAGCGTTTGCGGCGGTAGCGGAAGTGGCGATGGATGCAACGGTGATGGCCGTAGCGGTGGTTCGGGCAAGTCGCCGAGACAAAGCGACATCATATGTTCTATTTGTCTCGAACTTGTCCTTGACAACGGTGAAAGAGCTTGGACAAAGCTTGCATGCGGTCACTTCTTCCACCTTGGTAATTTTTTTTATTTAAATAATATTTTCAAGGGATATGGAGAACTCTATTTGAACGTTTTTAACTTTTTTCTTATTAAAAATAGATTTTTTCGAGAAATATGGTTGAACATATTTAAATAATTTTTTTTAGTTTAGATTTTTTTATTTAAAATATTTTTCAATAATTTTGTGTATTATTTTTATGGTTGGAATTACAAATTGTGAGTTTATTTTATCTAATCAATATGGAATTTTTTTTATGTATGAATTATCAATAATGGTTTTCTCGTATTCCTTTCCCGAAAAAAAATTAATAGAGAAATTATTAATAATGGTTTTTCAATCGCATAAATTGAAAAAAATGATCTTTGATTTTAATACAGAAAGATAAACCCTTAATATTTTTCAAAAAATTCGTCAAATTTAACTATTTATTTAATCGATTGTTAGTTTTAATGTTTTTGTTAGAAGAAACTGAACAGTCATTTCAATTTTTTCATGTTATGACAATTTCATATATATATATATATATATATATATATATATATATATATATATATGTTGTGTATTGCTAGATTGCATTGGATCTGCATTTAATTCGAAAGGTGCGATGGAATGTCCGAACTGTCGGGTTACGGAGAACGGAGACTGGCGTTACGCAAATGGCTATCCGAATCTTGAATTTGATGATATCAGCAGCGACTACACGTCAACGGTATCTTATATATTGCATTTCCATTTTCAACAGCTTTGATCGAATATTTTCTATTAGCTGCAGCAATATTCGCATTTCTAATTTGTTTTTTTAATTTTTATAAAATTTTACAGGCCATCGAAAATCTGATGTCGACGGTGTTCCAGACAACATTTCAGTAAGAAACTTGTACCATCTATTGAAATATGATGTGTTTTATTTTATACATTTTTTTTAAAAAAAAATTTGGTGTTCCACCTCACATAATATCCAATTACTATAACATTTCTAAGATTCGATACATAATCTGAGATTTGCACAGTTTTTAGATGCGTAGATAAGTTGAAAAACAAATTTCCAACAATTTGTTGAATTTTTTTTTATCTTTAAGATTAAATTTATGTAAACCAATCTAAGTTAATATGTATATTAAATTCTTTGACAAATGAAAATCTACCTAAATAAATTCCGAATTTGATCCAATAACAAATGTAGGGGATAAAAAACGAAATTGTTTTATAAATAATATATATCTATTAGTTTTTCAGTTAAATTTTATATCAACGGATGATATTTTTCTTTTTTTAACTATTAAAACATCAAAGTTTGGAAAATATTTGAAAACAATATTCTATCTCACACAAATCAATAAAAATTGTATTTCTATATTTTTCTTCAATAAAAGTTTATACGTATACATATAAGTGTTTCGTTTACGGAAAATTATTTCTCTTCAAATTTTAGAAAGGGAAAATGATGTCATTTTTAGTGATAATATCATGTTTCCTATTTTTTTTCTATACGATCAAAATGATCTCACTTGATAAAAATATTTTTTTATTGGTTTCTGTTTGTATAAGTTTTTGCAAGTATTTATACTACTAAATGAAATCTTACAATTTTATTATCTTTCTATATTATTTTTGTTAATATTTTTATCATTATATATATAGTACAATTACAATTTTCTGTTCATATATAGTTTATTTCGTATAGAAAATTATCAAATAAAAATAATATTTATGTTTAGTAATGACAAAAAAAATTTTAAAAATCCTAAAATTGACTATTTATAAGTATTTTTTGTTATGAATAAATATGAAAAAGTGACAACGACGTATTCTTATTGAAAATATCATATTTTATAATATAAACACACAATATGAACTTGAATGCGAAGATTTTTTTTTTACAAATGATCAAAATGATATTGCAGCGTTTAACATAAACTATATATTTTTTAATCTTTTGCCATTATTGGATTTGGTTGTACGAAATATCTTTTCAGTGTGTTTATTTCTTTAGAGAAGTACATATAGGTTTAATTAGTGGAAATTTTTACGAGATAAATCTTACTTTTTTGGTAAATTCAAAATATTTTTTTAATACGAATACATTTTAAAAAATTTGACATTAGACATTGTTGATCGAAATAATGTTTTTGCAAAATAGAAACTAATACAGGACAATATTTTTATTTTTTTTTCTTTTATAAATGAATAAAACGAAAACGGCAACGTCTTTTGAAACATAACAATATCAAACTTTTTTTTTTCAATGGAACATCATTTAGGTTTAGTAATTGAGATATTTTTCGAAAATAACCGTTAAGATTGGTAACTTATAAATATATATATATATATATATATATATATATGAATGCATATAAAAATAACAGTGGAAGATATATTCTTGTTCTAATGACGTTTTTAAAGTCATTAGAACAAGAATATATCTTCCATTTTTTTTGTTTTTAAAAACCGATCAAAACGACGTCGTCTTATCAGATATAAAATATATTTACGTTTTAATTTTTATAATTATTTGATTTATTTTTCCGTCTCATATTTATTAAACATTACATTTTTTAATGCTACATATATCTTTGCGATTCTTTTTCAATGAAACATCATTTAGGTTGCGTAATTGAGATATTTTTCTAAAATAACCGTTAAGATTGGTAACTTATAAATATATATATGTATATGTATATGAATGCATATAAAAATAATTGTGGAAGATACATTCTTGTTCTAATGACGTATTTAAAGTCATTAGAACAAGAATATATCTTCCTTTTTTTTGTTTTTAAAAACCGATCAAAACGACGTCGTCTTATCAGATATCAAATATATTTACATTTTAACTTTTATGATTATTTGATTTATTTTTCGGTCTCATATTTATTAAACATTACATTTTTTAATGCTATATATATCTTTGCGATTCTATTCTTTTAGTAGGAAACAGAAATAATATTCATATCGACGTATCATAAACTATCGTTTCCGATATTTGCATATTTCTAATCCTATCCTTAACCTCTAAATGCATTCAAATATATAGTAATTATGCTCTAATCTTCATTTCTTCCCTCAAAACATTTTGACGAACCTAATTCGACTAAATTTTTAATATTTTTCGCCGATTTTTTTTGTTTATTTTTTCAGAATAGACTTGGAGCCGAACGTCGAGTCAACAAGTCTCTACGACACAGGCCACCGTTGGGATACAGGCCAACGTTGGGATCTCGACAGTTCGTACCGTGGACGCCCTTGGATCCTAGGAGAATCTTCCAACCACAATAACAGCAACAACAATAATAACATTGTTGTTGTCGGTCCAAGATATGGTTCGGAGCAACGGCTCCATCAGCTAAGACCTTCAACGGGAGCCTTTGGTCCGTCTTCTTCGTCGTCAACGCCACCGCAACGTCAGAACCGTCGAAGGTATGCAACCCTACTTCTCTCATGCATGTAATAATGCTCATTGCTTCTGCTGAAGAATCGATTAAATGACAACATTTTGAAGACATTAGATGTTAAGGAGCTTCTTACGTAATGGATAGATTCTCTTGTTTGAAATGCGTATATTTCAATATAGAAATACAACGTCATTTTGAATGAGATTATCTTCTTTTCTTTTTTTTTTTATCTTTTACGAATCATCAAAACGACGTCGTCTTATCAAATACAAAATACATTGGTTATTTTACATGTTTTAGATTATTAGTTTGTTTTTATATTATTTCTTCCCTCAATATTTGTTGGTTAATAACCCATCTCTTCAAATTTATTTTGTTTTAAAAAGAGTTAATGGGTAGATTTTCTTATTTGAAATAACGTATATTTTAATATAGAAACATAACACCATTTTTGTCGAGATTATCTCTTTATTTTTTTATCTTTTATGAATCATCAAAACGACGTCGTCTAATCAAATACAAAATATATTCTTTATTTTACATGTTTTAGATTATTAGTTTGCTTTTCTCTTACTTCTTCCCTCAATATTTGTTGGTTAATAACACATCTCTTCAAATCTATTTGTTTTAAAAAGAGTTAACATGTATATTCTCTTATTTGAAATGACGTATATTTCAATATAGAAATATAATGTCATTTTGAATAAGAAGATCATTTTTTTTATCTTTTATAAATTATCAAAACGACGTCGTCTTTTAAAATACACATTGATTATTTTATATATTTAGATTATTAAGTTTGCTACTATCTTACTTCTTCCATGAATATTTGATGATTAATAACATATTTTTTTCAAATCTATTTGTTTTAATAAGGCACGCGAAAATAGTTGATGAATAGATTTTCTTTTTCGAAATGATATATTTTTAATATAGAAACATAACGTCATTTTGAATGAGATCATTTCTTTTTTTTTTTTTTACGAATCATTAAAACGACGTCGTCTTTTAAAATATAAAATATATTTATTATTTTATATATCTAGATTATTAAATTGACTACTATTTTAGTTCTTCCATGAATATTTGATAACTAATAACATATCTTTTCAATATAAAAACAGTGTCATTTAAATAAAATCTTTTTTTTATCTTTTACGAATAATCAAAACGACGTCGTCTTATCACATTCAAAATACATTCGTTATTTTACATGTTTAGATTATTAGATTTGCTCCTATCTTACTTCTTGGTTAAATATTTATTGGTTAATGACATACTTTTTCAAATCTATTTCGTCTAGTAGACGATGAAAATCATTTTTCTACCAACATAGCTCGCGAGCTACACACATGACAACTCCGTTCGTTCATTAGAAATTTGACGAATTTTCAACAAACTTTCTGGTATTTTTTTATGTTGGTTTCGTGTTTTCAGGACGGGTATGGGACGGATCAGCGACTCAAACCCCTCGGAAGCGGCCCGTGGTCGGGTACATGGAGGTTCGAACCGCGGAGGCGGAAGCAGCAGCAACGGGAATAGGTCGAGAGGTTCCTACCAAAGTCTCCAAGAGCGGATGAGGATTTCGAGGAGCCGGTTCGGTCCGTCGGCCTCTGCATCTTCTCACCCTCCCACCCGTCGCGGGTAATCCCACCCCTCCTCTGGTTTACTTCTTTAGCTAGCAATTTTATACGAATTTTCAATTTATTAAATAAAATACGTTAACGTTTTCTCCAAATACCAAATAAATATACCAATTTTTAAATACCTAAAAGACCGCTCTAACGGTCCAATTAAGTTTGCTCGTTTTCGTTCATTATATGGGTATTGGGGGTTATATTTCCACACGAAGGAAACAATTATTTGTTCGTCTCTTTCCATACGCAGCAACCAGAGAAACAGGGCTCCTCATCCTCCTACTGCCAATCAGCCGCGGCGCATCTGGCGACCAGTTGGCTCCAGAAGCTCCGAACCAGCAGCCGCAGCCACTGCCGCGACCGCAACCGCAACCTCAGTGAACCACTCAGGGAACCACTCAGGGACAGTGCTCGTGGATCAGACACCAAGCAACAGACCGTACAACCTGAGATCAGGAAGCAGAAGGAACAACGAAATGGCATTACCGGAGATGGAGAACGTCTACACGTCGGAGCAGGCGGAGGCTGTCCCGATCAATCGCTGGAACAATCGGAGAAGACGGAGTGGCCGACGTACGAGAGGGAATAACGCGGGAAACCCAGCGATGGCGGCGAGAATGTTAGACGAAGATGACGAGCTGTTGAACAGATTGATTTCGGAGCTGGAGGGTTCTCCTTTTGCTCCGACAGGAATCGACTCTGAAAATGCTCCCTAGACGGCGGTTGTTTTCGAACTTTGTTTCTCTTTTTGCTCCGGTTAGTTGCTTCCATTTCTTTTTCGTCGGTCGGATTGTTGTTATCTTGTTTAGGGATCGTTCTTGTTCCTTTTCTGTTTTTTTTTTTGGATCTTAGGAGTAAGTAACATTCCCATCTTCAGCTCGGGTTCGTTATTTTCGAATTAAACTTTTTGTATTTGGGATTTCGGTTTATAAAATAAATTTTGTTTAACAGGGCATCTTTATTTCCACAAAGCATTCGATTTCAGCTTAATTCGAATTCGATTTTTCAATTTATATATATATAAAAAAAAATCATCTCCATTGCCGATTCTAGCATCATGTATTTATAGAGGGCATATGGTCTTGTTACATATGTAATAGAAATGAGGAATAATTCCTCAGTTAAAGACCATAGATTAAAGTTTAACAAAAAAAAGTCTAATAATAACGTTAATTCGAATGTTCAAAAGAAAAGCTACACGAACCTGATCCATATTAACCAGAGATCAATCAGGGGTGCGAACTCTGCATCATTCAGCTCAGTCTTTTTACCACAATAACCTTTAGTGCACTGATCCAGGGACGAGTGGGATTAGTCTGAATATGCAAGACTTAAAGTCTCAAACCGCCGTTCAGGAGCATCTCATGGTATAACAAAAACAAAACTCCATAAAATCATGTGTCTTAAGTACTAACTTCTCCGTTCCACAAGTCTAAAAAAGAACAAAATACGACCCGACACTGAACTCAGATTCATGTTGCGTGTTCAGAGCTAAACCATAACGGCAAGACTCACTGATTCAACTCGACAATTCACGATGAACTAGAGATGAGATTACTGCTGAAAGAAAGCGTATCCCTCTTCCTCACTTGTTTTTTCTCTCAACTGGATTTCACCTGCAGAGTCGGGGATATAGTGCAAAAGTCAGAACAAGAAGAAGACAATGAAGAAGGAGCAATATACCAAAGGATATTAGGAATTGAGTTAGGAGTCTTTGTTGCATACAGACGGCGAGGGGAGCGGGACACACTGCGACTCCTCGATGGGCTTCGATCTTTCTCCCGAGGCTGTGGTTTTGTTTGGTTCGATTTGGTCAGAAGGAATAACAAACAGAGAAGAGCGGATTAGTTAAGTATCGATACGAATAATCAAAACCTCCAACTTCCACACCATCATCATAAGCATAATATCAGAAATGACTCAGTGTTTTCACCACTCATCTCAGTAATTTCGCATTTTCCATCAGACGCATTTTGTCGACAAAGCAAAATGGTTCATGGCAAACCAACACATGGAGTCACTTCTAATTAAACCGGTTAATGCAGATGCCAAAAGCAAACAAGAAAATAATGCAGGCCAAGTTTAGGTTTTCGACTTACCGGTGATACTGGAGACTTTGATCTCGATCTTGATATGGACCTGCAAAAACCAGGAAACTTCATGACTATGCCTTCACCACACAGTTGGCTTTTCAACCAGGTCATGAGCGCTTAACTCCAGACCCAGGGCGGAGGAACCCAAAAGACTCCAGGCACAGTGGAAAACATAGTATTTCATAGAACGATATCCAAACAGTCTGTGATCCGATCCTATAGCTGATACGTGCTGGACACCAGACCCAAAAGAGAAGCTAAAGTTCATGATAATCCAGCTTTGTTAATCCAATCCAAGAATCCATCTAGATGACCCATGAAGTCCCTAAGATCCAATCCCCAGCTCGCCGCAGAGAGCCAGATCTAGAAAACAAACAAGGGTGTACATTCTTAAACAATGTAATATGATGAAAGATGAATCCCCCAGAGCCACTATATGATCCCTCACCTCAAATTGCAAAACAATCTCACAAAACAGAGAAGCTTCTCTAGAGAAAAACACATTAAGAAGAATGAAACAAACAGAAAAAACACATGGGATACTGGAAAGACCAAACAAAAGCTCAGTCTTGGTTCAGATGAAAAACACACACAAAATTTTGTCTGGAAATTTGGCCAAAACAAAAAAGGTAGCTGCTCAGAGCCCAGATAGCTCTGTAAAAAAAAGCTAGAAACGACAATTCAAATGTATGGACTGAGATCTTTACTAGGATTATGGACCACAACTCAGAACTGGAGACAAAACATTTGTTTTTATCAGGGTTTTTGCAAGATACAGGTCCAACATGCCTGTGCATGTCATCACGGAAGGGAAACATTAGCAATAACAAGAAGAAATGCCTGCAGTTGATTCTAGGTACTGGACCGAGAGAACAATAAAGTGAGCTCAAACGAATAGGCTTAACTCCAGTAATCAGTTCCCTATCAAATCACTTGAGAAGTTCCATACACTAGAACTAACAAGCTAATAATATATGGAGTTACAAATGTAAAAAATGAAGCAGATCCATCAACTCGTACCTCGAGACAGAGCGTGCCGGTGAACAGGAACGAGGGGAAGCAGATTTTGCAGGAGATGCACTGCAATGTGTTGTAAAGACAGCCAATCAGTATGATAAGCATAAACAACAAAACCAATCCTTTTTTCCTGTGCTTCAAGGCTGATGAGAGAACAACACAACAGACCTCCTGCTCCTGCTCCTGCTCCTGCTACTATAGCTTCGACCACGGCTTTGACTCCGGCTATATCTTCGGCCTCGGCTTCGACTCCTGCTTCTGCTTCGAGAATAATATGGGCTACGGCTCGCACTTCTTGAGTCATACTCTCTAACCTACAAAAGCTTTGGCAATAGCAAAACTTAGATGAAGGTATAAGCATAGAGCTATACAAAACATGGAATCTGATATTGCATACCCGTATATAAGCTCGAGAGAAAGCATTCCGAAATTCAGAGTCATCAAGTTTCCTGATCTGTTGAACAAAAATTGAAAAGAACTATGAAATCCAACATTTTCCTTGGATAAGATTACCCAAATGCCTACAGAGAAAACAACAACACTTCGAATCTAAAACACCGGAAAATTTTTGGTGCAGAGGACCAACTCACCGCATATTTCATATCATCATAGTTGGTATAATCCACTACCCCTGTCATGCCTGCAAAAGAAACGAAAAACATGTTGTAACAAATGCTATAATTCTGATACCTAAAACCAGTCAAAATAGCTGACACATGGCATAGGTCGTATATCAGACTTCTCCCCAGGAGACACACTAAGATATCAAAATGTGATTGCCTACATATCAGCAGTTCGAATTAAAAACTGTAAGTAATCTCACCTCCTCGCTCACGGAAAACTTCAGAAAAGCAAACAAAGCCAGCTTTGCGCATGTGATCCTAACCACCCAACACAAGCCAATTACATAAGCTGTTCAATCATCGGTCTAACTGGAACAGGGACTAAAACATCAGAAGAAGTCAGTCCTTACCTTAAGATCCTGCCATGAAGCAGACGACGGTAATCCCGTTACAAGAACTGCACATTAACGACATAAATTTCATACTCTATCAAGGGTAAAGAATACACTGGGAAAACGATACATACCACGATACTCTGACCGCCTCGAGGGTGCATGGCTACCACTGTAACTGTTGTATCTATCCACTGAAGATGAACCTCTTCGACCACCATGAGCAAGTTCAACCTGGAACCGACAATAACTAATAAGATAAAACACAGAGAGAAAACAGAACCAATCTGTAGAAGCAGACATCAGTGAATCACTAACCCGCAACCGACACCCATCAAAATTATACCCATCCCGTCCCCGAATAGCATCTTCAGCATCGCGAGGATCTTCAAACTGCATCAAACATATCCCTCGGTCAAGCAAAATGTTAAATTTAATCAGAACATATACTTATGCGTGCAAATACGTGCTAGTCCCAATCATGCATACCTCAACAAAAGCATAACCAGGAGGCCTTGGCGGAATCTTCAAATCAATGTCAACAATGGGTCCATACTGAAACCAAGATTCAATACGTAGATCAAAATCTCATGCAAAGCAAAAACCAATCATCCCAATTCCCAACGCCAAAATTCTAACCCAATCTTAAAGTAAACAGAAAACGAGATCACGAGACTGCAATTTTTGTAAATTACCATACACGGCTACAAGTAAAACCACATATAACCCATGCGGCAAGAACCCTAACCAAATTCAAAAACTCAACAAATGCAATCACAGACCACCAGAAAATTTTGGAAAAAAAGATAATAGAGAAGAAATGCGTTCGAAACCTTGTAGAAGAGATCTTCAACTTCTCTCATGCGAATGTCTCCAGGCAAATTCCCCACGTAGATTGTTCGGCTCCATCGGTTACTCATCTGAAATCTCCCACAACACAACATGTTAAAAGTAAAATTTCGGAAATTTTTCACAGAAAGATTGATTGCAATTCGCAACCCTAGAAAGTACCGTAACTCACTTTCGCGCTCAGAGAGAGAGAGAGAGAGAGAGAGAGCGAGAGAGAGAGAGAGAGAGAGAGGGAGGGGGCGGGCGCCGCGTGGAAAGAATCGACCTGAGATGAAGAGTATTCATGAGATAGATATGATCAGGTGTTGCCGTGCTAAAGTACATATCTTGTATCCGGATTATTAGCCGTACGATCAGAGTATGTTAGATCTGATTCGGCTCCGGTCTTTGGGCCGAAACATCTAGCAACTTCTTCTTGCCCATATTTAAAATCCAGCGTATTAGTAACTCAAGATTCCATGAACTTTCATATCAGAGTATTTTACAAATAATTTTGTATTCGTTTTTAAATAAAACACTGTTACAATATAGTCAGAAATTATAACAGTTAAGTTACTCGTAGAGGTTTCCAGATCTCGTAAAGTTTACATGACCCCAAAAAAAATAAAAATATCTCCATAGGTATGTGATTCAAAATAAATGATTCTTCAGTGTATTTGGGGAGACACGCCACGACTTGCATCGTACCATTACCAGTAAAATAATATCATCAAAACATATAATTGTTGCCTACAGCTTGATGATACAATACAATGTTGAAGAAAATGGGTTGGCAAGTTGGCATTTTCAATGCCTTTTCAATTTTTAATTCAAGTTTACTCAATATATTTGTTGGTGAGCAGAATGATAACTAATTAAATAATATGTAAAAATATCTCGAAATCAAATAAACTTGAACCGAAAATAAATCAAATATAAAAATAATTAAAAATGAAAAATGAATATTTTTTAAATAAACACAATAAATTCTAATAAATATAATTTAAAAAACAAAAAATAACTGAAAAATAATAGAATCCAAATCCAAAATATTCACTCTTATTATAATTCTTTTGTTTCATTTGAGATTCAAATAATATCTTAACTCTTCAATCTGTGATATTTATTTTTCAAAGTTCCCCCGGTCAAAATGACATATTTTCCATCGTGTACTTATTTTATTTTTAAAAATTTTAAAGTATCATAACATTTTCATCTCTTCCGACGCAATTAAGAAATAAATATATGTAAAAAATATGATTTTGAAAATACTGAATTGTTTTTCGAAGATATTAGTAAATATTTCAAAATACATGAATTTATTACAATTTTCAGATACCCTAAATATTATAAACTGTTATTTCTCGGGGAAAAAACCCAACTACCAATTTGTTGAAAGAAAAAAAAATTAACGATAAATTCAAGGAATTGCAATACTTTAATTTGTCGTGATATATTGAACGAAACAAGCGCGATATATTGTTGGCGGCTAAGATCATTCGTGGGGCACCAGTGTAAATAAGCGGAAATCCAGGAACATTTCATCCTAATGTAGATAAAGCTAAGGGTACTTCCGTAATTTAAGAGAAAGCGAAGATGCGACCACGTGAGATCGATTCTCAGCCCTCGATTTATGCCACGTGTCCTTCCGATCTATACATCTCCATCTTAACCGGGTCCCACATCCATCAAAATCGACCTTATCCCCATTACAGTCAAGGATCCGAATGCCGCGTCATCATCAGATCAACGGCCCAGATATCTCCGATCTTCTTTAAATTCCGTTCCCTTGCTACTCATTTCGGAACTCTACCAGAGCAAACGATTACCTCTAATTTAAGCCGGAAAAACTTTTCTGCGTTATCGTTCGCGACGAGTTTTCGTTTGCTAACCTGCGCCACCTCTCTGCATGGGCTTACTCGATCATCTCTGGGATGATACCGTCGCTGGTCCGCGGCCGGATAACGGTCTCGGCAAGCTTCGGAAACACCAAACCTTTAGTTTCCGGCCGAGCTCCGGAAATGGTACGCCGTATTTCGCTGTTTTACGCCGGTGATTCGATCTACCGACGAATGAAATCATGAACCGTTAAAATATCACATACAATCTGAAACGCTATAATATATATGAACGATGGTCGGAGGGCGTGAGATCCGTTTCTGTCCGATGATCGCTTGGTCTGTGACTGGTTTTTGCCTTACATCAGACAGATGATTAAGTGATTTGTTTTTTTCGTTTCATTTTTTGGATTGGAACGGCTATGAATAGATCAATCCGAGGGTGGGAGCGTGGAATCGACGGACGAGGCGGTGAAAGTCACCCGCAGCATCATGATAGTGAAGCCACCGGGATACCAGGGCGGGTCAGCTCCGGTATCAGCTCCGGTATCTCCGGCGGGTTCAACACCTCCGGTATCTCCTTTTTCCGGTGAGTTTCAATATTTGCTTTCCTTGTTTGTCCCTGGATCTACGCCTTAATTACAACCTTACACTCCTGGAAAACGGGAATATCATTCTGAAGAAGAGTAGGTGGAACAGTGCGCTGTTCAGGAGTAATTTCGTCAATTCGGCTGATATCGCTGATAGACAAAAGTGTCGAGGGTAGTTTGGTCATTTACTGTTCGTTGTCAAATGGGATAGTGAAAACAACAGATATATTTGTCTGCTCTTACAAAGTCTTTCCCGGTGTAAATGGCACTTTTATCCTCCTGTCCATTTCTTCTAATGCATGGGACCAGTGCTGCATCATTATTATGGAGAGGACCCGTTATATTTTATTTGTGTAATTGTTGTATGCTATTATTGATGTAACCCAAATTGTTTAATCTTGGATTAGGTGAGCTGTCTTGGCTAATACAAATACCTAAGATAAGTTTCTTGATAGGGAGATATGATGATCTGATGGCTCTTTTCTTTGTCCTTTTTATCTGTTTTCATCTGAATCACGAGGCGTGAGCGTATAGTTCTTGTTCCTACATGTATACTATTACATGGTGATAAAAATTTGATTGTGATTAGGGATAATTATCAAAGACTGGAGATATATATATATATATATACATATATTAAATGGTGTTTTGTTTGTGGACTCTAATCGGGGGCATTATCCAAAATACCCTCCTTTTGCTAAAACTACTTCTACACATACCCTTCTCCAGTTGTGACCTTGTGACCAGATATGGTCACATGATGGTCACATTGGTCATAACATTAAATTTATGTTGATTACATTAAATCACCATGGTCACACCTTACATATCATACTAATCATTTGGTAAAATCATCAAAAATCTAACGTTGTGACCAATGTGACCATCATGTGACCATACAATTATTTTGGTCACAAGGTCACAACTGGAGAAGGGTAGGTGCAGAATTAGTTTTAGCATAAAGAGGGTATTTTGGATATTTTGCCACTCTAATCGCATTCTGAACCCAGTTAGCCGTTCTATCAGGTTGAGAACGTTTCTTTTTAGGTCTGTAATTTGGTTTGGTTCGGTTTAGTTTGATTTGGTCTGGGTTTGTTTACAGTTTTCTTTCTCAGTTTTGATTTGTATTGGAAGAATTTTATTTTTCGTTTTGATCAATAACACACAAGAGAATTTGTTTCGATTCTTTTGATCTCTCCGAGATTAGAACACGATATTAGAGAGTATGGTTTGACACCTCGGAGAGATCGATAGAATCAAAACGAATCAAAGAGAATTGATCTCTATAAGAGAGAGTTCCGAGAAGTTTCTTGTTGTATTATTGATTCAAGAGAACATGTATTTTGCCCTTGTGTAAATTGAGCTGCGAACTTAGCGTCTTTATCATGTTGGTGTGTTTGTGTTTGATGAAATTGTTATGAGGGGAAAAAAAGCTAACGATGAAGAACAAATCCGTGTTTTTTTTTTGGGTGCGAGCGGAGAAAATGCAGGAGGAGGGAAGGAGTCGTTTAGGTTTAGGAGAAGGTCGTCAACTGTGGAGGCATTCGACAAGGCAAGCGAGGCTGGACCAAGGAGCTCTCCTCCTCCTTACGGCCTGTGACATCTAACTCTACGTACGCCTTCATCGCCCCCAAACACGACAAAGGGTAATACCGTAATTTCACCACGGTTCCGATGACCGTGGTTTTTTTATTTGCGGAGGAGAAGACAGAGAGAGGCTTGTCGACTTTGGGCATGTTTGGGTTTCTTAGGCCGAGAGCTTTTGGTGTGTTTGTTTGTCTGTTTGTTCGGTTGTCTGTGATGCATAATGTTTAAGATGTGATGTGATGATGATCTTTTTTAGGCTTTTGGGTAAATGGTAATATGTAAATGTTTGTAAATTTTTCCTCCAAATAAAATGTAAATGTTTTTGGTGCAAAAGTTCTTCGAAAAAAGCGTTCTTGTTCTCCATGTAGAAGTGATTTACATGTTCTCTCCAATCAACAATTGTTGATCCTTGATCATTCTTTTGAGGGTAATCTAAAAAAAGATATGAGAAGTGGTGGTCGTCGTTAACCGAATAGTCGAACCAAATCGAATAAAATATAACGGTAATCAAACCGAATTGATATAAAAACTAAACGGTTATATATTAATTTATCTAGGAGAGATTTGCTGCGTGGAAGACAATATAAATTCCACTGATAGATTAGAAAATACAGAAGGGAAGCCATACGGATGGATATTGTCATTTGGGGCATGTCTCAAACTCTTCATTAGAGAGTTTCAAGCTTCCTCTTTCGACAACAGGTCATGTGAAAGATCACAACTTGGTGATAGTGACGTGTGTTTTGGCTTTGGCTTCCAATACGTTGCATAGAGCACCATCTGAGCTGTCCCAAGCAGAAATCCAACCCCATTTGGAATCTACAACCACACATTTTCACCCCAAAAAACAAAAACCCTAAATCAAATCCCCATCTTTCCTTTATTACTATGTACATATATATGTATATGTGTATAGTAGTAGTTTACTTGAGTAGAAAATAACATATACCCCAATGAACCAATCAGCGGTGAGGAAAGCGTAGGTAGTCCAAACTCCACCATTAATGAAGAGGAAAAACGACAGCAGGAAAGGCATGTACTCCACGCTCTTTGTCGTCACCACCGTTTTCTATCTCCATTTTATATATATATAAAAAACGCAATTAAGACAACTGCAAAAAAAAAAAAAAAAAAAAAACTAATTCCCATTTAACAATGCATATCCCTTGAATGATTTTCAGGATTTATTTAGAACTTCCACGGCAAGAAAATTGGGATTCATCATTCTGCTCTACTCATGTTCTGATTAATTTTTTTTATTTTAAGAAAATTAAGGAGAGAGAGAGGACCATGGCAGAGAGAGGAGAGCCATAGCAGACCATACTGAAAGTGAGAGACATGAAACCGGCAGCATTGATTCTTGTCTCCCCCTCCATCATAAATTGCATCACCAACACTGCTGCCCCGGGGAACACCACATCCAGCACTCCCACCATTATCCCTGCGCTCATCTGTGTAATCAACCCGCAATATAGTTCATCACGATGATACATAGTTTTATTTCTGACTTCGATTTGGACCGACAACAACCTTAAAAGGGTGTTTAGATCATAAAACGTTGATCGTTGTCATCGATAATATTACAAGACAATGTCAGATTTGAGAAAAAAAAGAAGTGATGAAAACATATATTGTTAACTTAAGAAGCAAAATAAGAAGCAAGACAATGTCAAATTATATTTTTATATCATCGGTCGATATGTCATTGTCGATGAAACTAGTATATCATACCCTGAAATAGTTGAATATGTGAACTCATTAGTGAAGTTCAAATACGATCCTTGGGGCCCAAACTATAGTATATACCCTTCTTGCAATCACATGGGTCCCTAGCTAGGGTTCTTGAAATTGAAACCTATGTTTTACATTCATACATCCTTCTTGATGCTGTGATTAACTAGGATCTATGACCATAAAGAGAAATCGACGACTATATATATGAAACCATTTCATAAAAAAATTATTGGAACTAGATCAATATCTTATATATATATATATATATATATATA